TCTCAGCAGCTTTAAAGCTGCAGTAGGTAACTGTTATAGAAATAACTTTTTGTCATATTTGCTTAAACCTTCACTATATTCTGACAGCAGTATAAGAGGCAGATAATCTGTAAAAAAGTAAGATTCCTCTGGCTCCTCCTCGTGCAACTAATGGCATTTGAAAGAATCCAAGGCACCCAAAAGAAAACAACCAGTCAAGAAAGATGTGAAACACTTGGCGTAACAATATGCTGTGTATAAAATGTATCAATTTATCAACTTTAATACTAACAGTATATTGTTTAATATTGAGGAAAGCAGCATTGGAATGTAACTAAGTATATTTACTCAAGTACTGCACTTGTGTACAATTTATTACTGCACTACATTTATCTGACTGGCTGCAGTTACTATGCAGACTCTGTTTTTATACACAAAATATCAATTTATAAAATTAAAATTAAAATGACCAACATTATATACTGCTTATATATACCTAACTCCACCTAAACGAGCTACAGCATTATTCTTTAGTAACATTAATCCAATAATAAAATATTTTTCAACTGTGGCCATTGTGCTTGCTACATGAGTAATAGTGAATAAAAATTAAGAAAAGGATCTGAATACTGGAAGAAAATGCCTGCAAGGGAAACAAAACTGATGTAATTGTTTGTGGCTGTGGTAGCAATTATTTGTATTTGGTGTTATATTTTTGTCTTACTTATCATACACACATTTGAAATATACCAGCTACATATGGAGGCTCTGGGATGCACAATATCTGTGATTTGGTGATAAGCCTGAAAAAAATGTAATCCTTTAAAACTTAAATGTTAAAGAAAAACCACACTAACATAATTTCCCTTTACTTGATTCCACGTTTAAATGCATAAAAAAGGAAAATAATTATAAAAGAATCGTATTTGTTGCTGCTCTGGTTTCACTGTACACAGAAATATAAAGGTAAGATAAAGGTTGCACATTTCCTGAATGTCCCTGTCAGCTTTTGTTTTCCATAATAAGAATCCAGGGTGTGTTCTGGGCTATAACATTCTACATAGTTTGGAGGGTTAGTGGATTTGACAGTTCTCCAAGTGTCCCATAGCCCTGAGTTCAGCGAACTCGCTCCAGACACAACAGTGACAGCTGGGGGAGGGATAAATAAAAACAGTGTCTCTATCTCCATTACAAGACAGCAATCCAGACAACAACCCAGTAGCCTCTGTGAGTGCGTGTGTGCCAACACATCCACGTACAGCACATGCAAGAACAAACACACACACACTTTTCCTCACACATTCACTCCTTCACACTTACTGTGTTCACTGCTGCGAGGGCAACAGATGGAAAAACGAGAGAGGCGAGAAGAAGGGGAAAGAGACGCAGAATATAATAAATGCTGTTGGACTTGGCCCGTTAGCAACCAGCATTCCTCTGACAGGTGTAACATGTTTACCAAACAAACAAGCAACACAGATGTCAGAGAAATGAAAATGGTGACTTGAGGTTGCATGACCTGTGAAAAGAAGCCTGGTATCCAAGTTGGCATATCTTTGAGGGCTTTGAAGGTATTTCAGAGAGATGAGACGACTGCGTGCCACACCAGGATTGCAAGAGTGTCTCGCAGAATTTGTCTTATGTTACTCGCCCCAAGCATCCCAGGCAGCTCTGGTTGTTTGCTGGGGCCATCCAGGGTCACAGGCACTGATGGGCAGTTTTTAAGCCTCTCACTTTTCCGATCACATTCCACTTCAGGGCAGTGGGAAAATCATCTCACATCACAATCAAGCAAAATAACCACTTGGACCTGTCGAACTAGACATGGAGACTTCCGATGAGACCATCCTGTGACCTTGACCTCCATCAAAACCACTTGTACCAGGCAGTCTCTACAACAGGCCTCAAGTTAACTTACTAATTGCTAACTTAATACAGTTTCCATATGCATTGTGCTTCTTGTGTTCCAAGAATAGGACTAAAAAATCTTTTAAGATATGTTTTTACAGATTGAAGTAGTACAAACAACAACAACGCCTCTCAAAACCAGAGTTACAATTCACAAAATACAATGCCATATAATATAGGAGCAGAGATACCAGTCCACTAGTGTCAGTCCATAAACACAGAAAGCCAGTTGATCAGTTTGATGTTCTACTGGTGGAAAATAATTGAAGAAAAGTACAAGCCTTATTTTCTAGCCCGAGGCACTAACTTACCTTTCCAGAAAGGAATGCAATCATTAGCTTTGAAAGTCATTTATCTTCTGAGTCCATGTGTTCTCTTTGACAAAGCAATGATACTCACTTAGAAGGAAATGTGATGAAAGAGTTTAATTACTCACATTAATAAGTAAAATACATAAAAGTGGCTGTTTAATTTGTTCATTATAAGATTTAGGCCAGAATGTGCCTAACTAAGAAAATACCGTAGTTCAAGTAGTTTAAGACTCAATTATTATACTCTATATTGTAAACACTGTTGGTTAGTCCACATTGTAGAATTGCAGGTAGTATTAATCATTTTTAAAGCTGTATGTCAGTCTCATACTTCAACTACACTGTAAAAAATCATATCGTTATGTAATCAAATAAAATGATCTTTATTCATTAACTTAAAGCAGCACAAATCTTTTTTATATATTTGTAATGTGACAGGGGACATTTGGAGTGTTTTAGCATCTTTCAGCTCATTGTTTTGGATTTAAAATTCAATTCAATTCAATTCAATTCAATTTTATTTGTATAGCGCCAAATCATAACAGGAGTTATCTCTCAGGACACTTTTCAAAATAGTGCAGGTCTAGACCGTACTCCTTATAAAATGATTTACAGAAATTTAGAGATAGAGATTTACAGCCTACAACTTTATTGTTTTGACTCAGTTTCATTGCTATAATCAGCGTTGTTTCTAAGCAGCTGTTTCAGGGGTTACCATAACCCACTGTATGATATCTATAGTAAAGCAGAGCATTTAGCTTGCTAGAGGAAGATATTTTTCTCAGGAATTGGTAGAGATCAAAACTAAACTACTCTGTCAGGTCACCAGGAACATAACTCTAAATGAATGATGATGTTGCTCTGTGTTTATTGGATGCGTAAATAGACAACTATTTGCTAACATGCTAGCCATATTAACTTTATAAACCAATAATTCTATATGTCGTTGTATTTACAGCTTGTATCTGCTGCAACAAAGTGGCAAAAAAATCTAATAATGCTGCTTTAATGTAAAAGTAAAAGGTTTTCCATTTTCAAATAAAGTTAAATTTAAATATCTGTCAATTATGGCTAATAATAAAGTATGTGTACTAATCTGATGTTCCATATGTGCCCACCTGTCCTGTTCTGAGTACAGACTGTACATGCAATGTTGAGAGCAAATCAGAGCTTTAATTCAGATGAAGTACCTGGAGGGCTGAACATAATGATCTCCACTGCAAAAAAGAGCATCTGAGGACAGAGATGGATCATACATAACAACACACCCACGCTCCCTCCTGCACACACACTGTCCCGAATTCATTCTATATCCTGGCATTAAAAGCAAGTCACATCACATTTAGACATCCGCCAACTGAAGTGATGCTCTCAACTGTTACGGAAATAAAGGTTGACAGAAAACAAGAGAAAAGGGCAGATTGGAGCTTCATTTAAATTCAATTCAAACATGACAGAACATGTAAACTGCATCATCTGAACAGCAACATAATCACAAACATTACATCTTAGGCAGTCCTTATTATTTCAAATGATGTGTGACATGACAGTCTTTGAAGACTTCTTTGTCATGTTACTGCTCAGTGTTTTTGGTAACTGCTTTACCTGCAGCTAAGATAATGTCATGACAATTAAAGAATAAAATGATTATAGGTACAAATGTAATCCATGGAAACCAAACAAAATAAACAGACACAGTTGGATATTTGTCAAATAGTGTCCTCTGAAGCATCAGGTGACCTAAATGTAAAACTCAACCAAAGTTTTCTTGAGGGGCAAAACTTTATGAGTGCTCATTTATCTGGCAGTTAATTCTGTTTTCTGAACATCTTTTACAACTTGAAGAGCAGAAATATGGATGAGGTGCTTCGCTCCAGGCCAGAGCAGCGCTTGATCCAGGATTAGAGACACGTCCTCATTCTGGGAAGAAACATGTTAACCCCTTCAAACCCTAAGGTGATGATACATGATACTAACGGTGCTGAACTTTACCATATACTTTACCTTGTGCAATAACAGCTGTATGTATTCCTTGGAAGCTCGCTACTTAACCTTGTTTCCTGAAGAGAAAACTTTAGCAGAGACTAAATACTGCTGGCTTAGTTGCATTCACTTGTATTTGTCACTCAGGAATGGATGTGTCATTTGTGAACAAAACTGTGTGTTTACCAGTGTACAGTTTCACTTTTGAAGCTTTTAAACTATAATGCTTAAGGTTTTCATGAGATTAAATCCTATCAGCACTATCCATCCAATGTATTTCAATTCTGTAATAACCTCTCTATACAGTAGTTTCCTTTGCTACTGGCGGGGCCTGCCATTCCCATACTAGATTCAAACAGCATACCTTCAAAGTAAACAATACATGTAAGCAATCCAACGTTACTGTAACAAGAAATGCAACTCCAGGTAATTTCAAAGTTGTCTTATTAACATGTGTTGTGCTCTTAGCTGGCTTGTTAACTATAACCATAGGTAAGCCTACGCTGAGGAATCACCTAGTTTAGTTAAGAGTTGGCTGGCGTGTGAACCACGCAGCTTTACTGTGAGTGTAACCAAAATGTCTCATTTCTATTTCTACACGTGCAAATGTTTAGGACCCCTCGAAGACTAGAGGCACATACATGTGATTTTAAATAAACAACAACAACATATGAAGATGCAATGTGTGGGTGTAGAAGCTCTGAAGTTGTTTAAAGGCGCCTTAAACGTAGCTGAATGTCATGTACTGAGTAATGCTGCTAATTAATTGATGCTAAGCAATTAGTAAAATAATGTGATATAAAAAACAAGTACAAAGCATATGAAGGAAAATCTGTATTTGTTCCACGTTGGTTTCATTATGTAGCATGTTTTTTCAAAAAATACATTTAAAAGCAAGAAAGAAAAATCAATGTTAACTTTATTAATCCAAATTTTTAAAACATTTTTAAAAGATTTAAGACTTTCAAAGACCCCGCGGAAAGCCAGATTTTTCAAGCAACTTACCCAGCACTGCTCTCTTTATAGCTGTAATACGTTACTGCTGAAGCAGGCCTAAGCATCCTGCTTTACACTAAAACGGTCATACGAAACTGTATTTGTCACTAACGTCAGTGCTGACCACTATCATTCATCAAAAACACCACCACAACTAAAGACATGGCCATTTTGGTCATTTTTAACACCACATTAGTTTTAAATATTGCAGGGTCTAATAGAACAGTCAGTTGCTGCCACAACAAGCTGTTACTCTTGAGCAAGGTAACCCAATTTAAATATTCCCTGCTGCTGTGTGAAAAACTACTTGCACTGCGTGAAGCATGAAATCAGTTTTTTTTTTTTGTGAACAACTTTTTATTGTTTTTAAATGTAAACAAGTACAGCAGTCAGACAACAGTACAGGCATATTGGAACCAAAAAAAAAGACCTAGTGGCGACCCCCCATCCCCCACCCCTCCCACCCCCTCAACCCTGGATCTCTGTAAAACTCTTACAGGACATGAGACACCACGTTTTAACAAAACAAAATGCAAATACAGGTAGTGATTACAGCAATTCCTTAATCTTCGCTTTCATTTAATTTTTGATCAACTTCTTTATTAATACACTGGTTAGTACACGGGTTTTCTTGGCTGACTGTAAACACCAGTACCAACAGCAACCGCGGGTGTCACTAAATCAACCAGGATGGAAATCAATAATTTCATTTTATAATAACTAAATGTGTGCTAATGTTATTGTACTATAACTGCAGCAGCAGGACATCATTAATTATGGCATTTCTGAAGTGTCAATTCTCACCATTGGGTTTATCCTTCAGCAAACATAAATTCTTATTTAGTACGGACAAAGCAGGGTATGATAGTACCATATTGCATATTCCAAACCGCTAAAAAGGCAGAGAACAGAATATGACATAAGATAAGCCTACATTTTAAGTCTGTGACAGGCTCACAAGACTAACAGATGATACCGAAACAAGGCAGCGCTACACACAGTAAACACACAAATCAAGGGGAAATTCCAAAACTGTATGCACTGTAAAAATACACAAGGAATGATACAACTAAACTGACAAATGTGCCCCCATGCTCCAGTGAATCTCTAAGGGGCAGAATGGCATGGGAATGAGCTTTTAACAGAGACACCGGGGGAGGAAGAAAGGAGTCCCATTGCGAAAGAGTTGAATTACCATATCACTGAGGAGCAAATAACAAAGCTCCTTGAGAGCAGTGGGGGATCCGTCATCCAGTGAAGAGCTGTGTTGAAATGTGGATATTTCTGAGTGCTCAGACACCACACACTGGTAATAAGCAGTGGGGGAGATCACACAGTTGTTTAAACCTCACACAGAACATCCTGAGAACCCAGGCTGTGACACAAACCTGAATATGGAAACATTTTTGGTCAATCCTTGTAGAATTTGAATGAACTCTCTGTAAACAAGCTTGTCGACATGAATTCAAGCATTATAAATTATAGCACACAATTTGAACCAAACTATTAGAAAATGTAGACAAGTTAGAAGCCAAGGTTTCCTCGAGCCATGCAGTATCCCAGTTTGTTCTGGTTTCCAAGGAAAGACATGAGGCCCACGTAAGCCTCGATTTGGATTGGCTGCTTCAGGACCAAGACGCCGTTGGCCTTCCCAGGAACTGGCTTCAAGGCGTGGACTTTCTGCGCCGCATCCTTGAGCTGCTCGCGAAAGTTATGGATCTGTGGAGGGGGGAGGAAGGATCAGAAACATATCTGAAAACAAGTTTATTTGCTTTTTACAGCTTTTTGACTTCTCGCCTTGGGGTGGGTGTTGTATACATGAGATCACAATATCTTATTTTAGAGGGATTAACTACATTTGAGCAAGCAATAGGAATTCTCATGCTGCTAATAACGAAAGCTGCTGGTGCAGCTTGGCAGTCTGAATCCACTGAGCATAAACTCAGAGAGGAGAACATCGCTTTTTTAATTTAACCAGAAAGTGAAGAGTCCAGTTCCACTTTCAAAATAAAATACAGCCAAAGAGGTGTTTTTTTAAGCTATAATACGTAACACTTCTGCATTAAGATTAATGATTAAGAAGGCCAGCTCTGTCCTGGGTTGCCCCCTCGACTCAGTGCAGGTGGTGGGAGAGAGAAGGATAATAGCAGAGCTATCATCACTGATGGACAATGTCTCCCACCACATGCAGGACACCATCACTACACTGAGCAGCTCCTTCAGCGACAGACTCCTTCACCCCAAACGTGTGAAGGAGAGATATCGTAGGTCCTTCCTTCCTGCTGCTGTCAGACTGTTTAACAACCAGCACTGCTCCCCTGTTTTTTTCTCTTGTACATAGTGTTTTTATTCATTATTTTCCTACTCTTGCTGTTTTTTATACTGTTTTTTCTCTATCCACTTTGCTGCTGCAACAATGGAATTTGTCCCCATTGTGGGACAAATAAAGGAATATCTTATCTTATCTTAAAATGTCTATAAACTCTAGACCTGTGTCATATATTTTTTTGAGCTGTGTACTTACATTATCCCAGATGTTTCCAAAAATGCTCAAATCTGTCATCTGTAGATAAAAACAGCTTATTCTAAGGTCACAGAAACACAATGATTCTTATTTTGATCAATGATAATGTGTAGTGATTACACACTATTGAAAAAATACCTATTAATATTAAATTCAGTTTCTGCCAATAGATCCTTCTAAATGTTACACACTGAACCTTTAAGTCATCTGACTAAGATTCCTGGTCAACACCATGTAGACCATAATTCACAACTTAACAGGAAAGAAGCAGAGGTCAGGGGTCAAATGTAAAAGACCCATCTGCTGTCTACAGTATTACAGTATCATAGAGTTATTCTTGCCCAACGAGGCACATTCCTTGTGTCATATCATAATTAAGTCTACGATTACATTGCATTCTAAGTTAATTTCTTCCAGGTCTTTGCACAAGTGAGTCAGACAGGCTCAGTTGCCAGTCTACATTTGAAAGCAGTCATTGAAGTGTGTATAATTATACCCTTTCTTTTACTCGGTGTGATAGCAGAAACAACATGTATGACATGTTTGAAACGTTGCAAAACATGTGTGACACTGTTGAAGTTTTATTACATAGCAGGAGATTGCTCCATTCTTCTCTCTTGTTCATGCTGAGTCAGCAGCTGTGATTGCTCATAAACATCTTGGTTATGTTGAAATTCCTGTATACGCTTTGCAAACGCGTCATTTTTTTGTTTTGCATATGAAACACAAATTTGTCAGCACAAGTAGTCCAAAACTAAAAAGAAGTAGTTCAAGTGCCTGGGCCGTCTAAGGATTCAGAGGCTCTGAACATTTCTAGCAAAGAGTCCTGGCTTAGGACTAATTTAGGTTTTCTGAAGAAGGAATGGACAGAAACATTTCCTTTCATTAGGAAGGGTGGTTGACCTCATTGCTAGGTATGATAAAAAAAAAAAAATTAAAAAAAAGGAGTAATCATAGAATGTAGTCTCTATTAAGACATGGTGGAATTATAAATAAATTGAAATGCCTATTTTAAAAGTAGCCTTCGAACTGAAAACGCAGTAGCCCACTCCCATGCTGATAGTCGTTATATTTATTTGCCTATGTTTATTTATCATGCTAGTAGTTAGTATTTAATATGTCGTATTAATGATAATAACTTGTTTGTGTGTTCACTCTGCTGATGGAAGGCTGCTGCACTGTTGTGATCACTTTTTATTTCTCTGGTTATTGCGTCGGGTGGGAGACGTGAACGCCATCTCTAAAGAGATAGACCACAAACATTATTCTTACACCATCTAATCTGTAGAGTGTCATTATCTTACTGTGAATCAGTGTTTGGAGAATATTTCTCCCACCTCTTTATATTTCCGCCATTTTCTCCTCCCTACTCCTACCTTAGGAGATGTCAATAATAAGTCTTACCTTTACCAGGATACAGTCTTCACTGTAAGGGGAAATTATCAGAAAACATTAGAATTCTAAGAAAATTTTATACTTCTATGACTTGACTTGAATTCGTAGGAAGTACTAGGAAGCTTAATGAATACTGCCCCAGATAACTAATTCCAGTAAGTCTTTTCTGCGTGATGATTCATTTGACCACATTTTTTATGTGATCATAGTCAACTGTCTCTATGACTCTCAGAGGACACACCTCCACCTGGATTAATCATAGATACAATCACATAAAATATTCCAACACATACATTCTGACAAATTGAAAGGTCACAAACTTTCTCCTCGCGATACAAAGTCCTGCAAAGTCCGAGTTTGAGATATGTGACTTTCAAACTTGTGCTTACACTGGAAGTAGTCCCAATGAACGCTGTTGACAGTGAGGTCTGTGTATAGCCCTAAGTACCCAGGATATTGTTCCAGGAAAGTGATGCTCAGGATTTTTTAAATTTTGTTCAATGTTACAAGCACCTAATTGCAATGGTGTTGTGGCAGACATCTCAGATATCTCAAAACCTCAGCAAATAAAACCACAACTATTTGCATGGCTCCACACCACCAGGTGAGAACATTTGTTTGTTTGTTTTGTGATTTGGGTGTTGAGTCACTTACGTCGCAGAGATCAGCGAGTGAATCACTGATGTTCTTCACAGGGTGGTAGGTGAAGGTGATGAAGGGGAAGTCAGTGGCAAAGGGGTTCCACTTGGAGGTAAAGGTGGGCTCTCTCAGCCGGTCCCAGAAGATTCGCACCCCCTCCCCCTCTCTCCTAAACACACAGACAGACAGAGGAACACAAATGACAAAATGTCTCTCTATGTCAGTGACACATCTGAGTCAAACGTGACAAAACTTCAGATTCCGCAGTTTATGTTGTCACCAGATCAATAACATACTCACTGCTTTCTAAAAAAAAGGGGTTGGTTTGTTTTCCATTGAGAATTATACACAAAACACTGAATATAAATGCTTTCTTTGCCTCTGGCCACATTCAGAATGTCAACAACTTATAGGCAGTTATAAGTGACAATTTTGTGGCACAGAATTGTTTTCACCTATGGCTTTTATCCCAGGCATCATGGAGGAGAAGTACCGGTGCTAAAAAAACAAAACTGCAGTGACTGCACTGTGGCTGTGTAGTTAGTGGCTGTGTAGTTACTGTTACTGCACTGTGGCTGTGTAGTTATTGGCTGTGTAGTTACTGTTACTGCACTGTGGCTGTGTAGTTACTGTTTAACCTACAAAAATACACAGCCCTAGTAAAATTGCCTTGCTGATGGTCGTTTGTTTATGTAGGTCATATATAGGTATCAGTATTAAATGGAGACCAGTTCAAAACTGTATGTAGTACGTTAGTTTTCAAGTAACAGTAAAGTAAGTCAATTTATTATTAATTGTTGATCAAAAGACGGATACACTTAATTCCTAAAAAGAAAGAAAGAAATTCCTGAAAGAACACAGTTGTTTATAGATGCAACCTGTTCCCCTTGGATTTGATATTTTTAGGTAGAATCATTTAGGCCAGAATCATCTGCCTAAAAAGCCCAAAAAGGCATTAAATAAGAGGAACTAAAACCTATTGTTTGAGCCTGACAAACCAATGTCCCCCCCCTTTTTCACCCAATGTCACTGTTTACTACTGCTCTCTGCCTGGAAGTACTTTACAGTAAATGTGTGCACAAATAAAAATGTATAGCTACCTTCTGACATGAAAAACACTAATCTATGTCCAGGCCGAACACTTAATCTGAGGGCAAACTCATGTTTACTGGGTTTAGAGGTAATCTACAGTGTGCTCATCATAGTCTCTTTCTTCTGCTGTTCTCTCTTCAGTCATTTTAAAGTTAACACCATAGTTTTTAATGAAAACGCCCTGGGGTCATGTCTTTCCTCAGCCTACTGAAACCTCAGACGACTGAGAGCAAACACTTGCAGATCTTGGAAATGATCTACATGCTGTGAAGATCCATACAATTCTCTACTTTCTTTTTGTCCATCAAATGTAATCTAGGGCTCTCATACGTTTTATCTATATACCCATATAGTGTCTTTGTTACTGTTCAAAAGGTACAGGGTCACAGAGAGTTCAAAACACCCTCCTCTGCATTTCTTTTTAGGCAAACCTTCCTGCAGAATATTCAAATAGTGATGTGTACAAATGGAGTGTCACTTTGAGCGCTGGAAATTGTGATAGACATGTATGGATACAGCCCCCGTATGTAATCTTATATCTTAATCTTAAAGATCACTGCTCACCAAATAAAGGATTGTTGGATGTGCTGCAGATAGGAAATCACTGTATAATGATTATAAGTGCAACATTACATTATTGAGGCAAGCTTTTGGTCAGGGACTTTCTGCAAGTATCCTTAGAAGTCTGTGCACTAATGCTACATTAAGATACATACATACATACATTTAAATACTCTAGCCTGATTGGTCTTTGTAAATTCAGAATGATTTTAATACAACTAAACACTCATTTTCAGCTACATTACCATCCCTTTCTCTTTGTAGCCGGCGGATTGTCACCTGTTTAACAAAGCAGGTAAACAACTCCTGGATTAACCACTATTCAAAACAGTAGCTAGAAAAACCTGCAGTGACAGGTTTGACTCCTCTGTTCGACATAATTACACTCATAGCAGAACAAAACAAAGATTACAGTTACAGTAGTTGAATTATACAAATAAAAAACACAGAACAGGTCAGGTGGAAATATTTGATAGGCATGTATTTTTGGTAAAACATACAACCAGCAGTTGGGTTTAAACATTTTGACAGCACGAGGGAATACATATCTGCTGTTGTTTTTCATTTAGGTTTTCTTTCGATGACATGGCATTTCCTGCTTTCCTTAGAAGAAGGTAACGAATTAGCTGGAAAAAAGAGAAACGCCCACACACAGCTCTCATGCAAACACTGATACAATATCAGAGATGCCTGTCAAGATTTCATCATTTCCTAGGGCATTGTGCATTGTTGAAACATTTGAGCTGCAAGTATGTCTGCATACTTTTAACACTGAGAATAAAGTATTTTTGTAGTCCTGACAGCCAGAAATCCACAAATCAGTCCTTGCTGCCTTTGTAACCTCTGCCCTTGATGTGTGGATGTGCAAACACTCGGGTTTATTCAGTGATCAATACTGTGTGTAGACACTGTAGACAGCTTTCAAGAGGCAACTTGCTAAACAATTTAACCCATATAATTGTGCAAACAGTGCTCATAAAGTGTAGCTTGTGATGGCAATCAAACAATCTGGCGTTGTGTTTTTGTGATTCTGGCAACAGCTGCAGCTACTCATGGAAGTATTAATCTAAGTTTGTGGAAATAAACTTATCTTTAATGTTCCTACTGCTTTGCATAAAAAAGTAAGAAAGAAGATAAATAAATCAGCATGCAGGCGATTTCCCAACAGTGTTCTGATTCCCTTAATGATCTGTCACACTGGTTGGCTCATTTTACCACAAACCTTGTGCAAGAGCACTTCCTGCCAAACAGAATTAAACACCTGAGGCTAAACAATAGTGGTGTAGCTGTTGATATGTCATGGTCCCAGGGAGGGGCTGCATCATAATGTAATCACCTAGCCCTGTTTACACAAGTATTTTCAAAATGACAATGCTGCTGCTGAACATTGTGTGCCTCCTCCAGAGCCAGTGTTGTGCAGGGAGAAAAGGGAGGAAAGAAAAAAAAACTTGGTACAAAAGCAAAGCCCAGGCTAAAAGACTGATTATATTTCAGCAAAAGCAAGTGGGGATGGTGGGTTTACATTTGTACACATTGCCCTTTGTAAGAGCACACAGCTATTGCCCTAGTATAAATGGGGATATAAAAAAGCTTTGGCAAATTCCACAGGTAAGCTATCACTGGGAGAGGGACCAGCCCAAACAGGCAGAGCAGGGCTGGGCTTTCCAGCCAGAGGCCTTGGAAGTCTTCACTGTGTTTATATGGCAGAGCTGGGGTTTGGACTTTCACTCTGCCTCACTTTGATACAATCACAAAATACAAATGGTGAAAGCAGGCAACACCTTTGTCATGAATGAGTTTCTAAAGGAGATACAGTTTGTGTCAAAATAAATGTCCAAAACCTGGCTTACACTTACCACCTCAATAAAGAGGCCAAACCGAGGAAATCCACCTTCTACTGACCTTCCAAGTGGCGTTACACTTAATCCATGGTGTTTATACTAAACGCACACATGCATAAGAGAAACACTGTATTCTGAGCTTGAGGGCAAGTGACGAAAAATTCCTCCCTGGGCTTTCAAGCGCTTCGGACTCATAAGTCAACACACAAGATAAATATCAAGCCCAGCTCCAGTTGTCATGGCAAGTGTCCCACACTGTCTCAAAGCGAACAAACAAATCTGCTCTGATTGCTCAATAGAGCCTGCAGGTTTGTCAGCCATCCATACATGTATCCATCCAACAAGGTTTCATTCAACATGTGAAAGGACTAGAAAGAAAGGAAAAGGGTGGACAGCAAGGAAAACAAAGGAAAACACACACACCTGTTAAATTTCCTATGATACTCAAGCCTCAAAAGGAAATTTACATTATTTATGCTAAAGCTGCTCATGCAACCTCTGAAGCCTAAAACATACAGCTATGTTACTGTAGATGTCATAATGCACACGCTGTGATATCATAGCTGCAGGCTGTTGGCAAAGATATTTCCAGCTTGAAAAAGCAGAGTCCACAAGCTGAAAGCTGCTCCCATCCCAAGGTGTATGAATTTAGAGCAGAATGCCCAAAACATTACACGTCTATAGGTATTTATCAATGTATGCTGTACACCCTGGGAGGAGCCTGTCCGCAAACTCTGCTCCTGATCTGTGCTTTGTTTTTGGGGATTTGAGTTTATTTTTTCTTTCTGCTTGGTGACTGCTAGAGGTAGAATACAATATCTGGCAATACGCTGTGGAATCTTTACTTGAGACAATTCAGTCTGTGCTTAATATTTGTATTTTGTATGTATGCAGTGGACGTCCTGTTTAAGTGCGGTTGAAGTCAGAATTACTGGGAATCAGTCAAAGAAGCAGGGAGTGTCAAATTGCAGCTATCAAGGAAACAAATTGAACGTTCCTCATGTATTAGCATATGCTGTGCAATGCCAGTACCTAATAACAAATACTTTAAAGGGCCTGTTGCAGTTACACCCAACAGTACAATCAACAATTGTTTACACTTCCACTAGTTTTAGTTAAAAAACAAACGTAGCAAATTGAAAGTGAAAGTGAAAATAATAAATCTCAATTGGTTTGCACATCCACACAGCAAAGAAAGTCAAAATCAAAGACTAGCTAAAACAATTTTTTTAATAATACAGAATGGCATATTATCCCACGCAAAACTAGACGGATACATCAGCCAGGCTGGTATTGGTGTATATGCTGGTTAAGTTAAGTAACAAGAAATTGCAGTACAGAAATGCCAAGCCAGGTTTGAGCTAATTTAGAAATGAGAGTACTGAAGTCCTCAACTGTAGAATGTCCTGCTTAGCATGTATCTTAAAAATAAATAATCTGAGGGACATGCATAAAGATTGAAGATGAAGCTCGGTTTACCTCTCAGCCTGTTAAAACGGATGTATAACATCTTTTAAGGCTCTCGGGGGACCAAAGTAAAAAAAAATGGAAGATGTCATAGTGGTGTCATCATAGTGAGTTGCATTATGGGAAGTGTAGGATACAGTGTTTTTAGAGTTCCATCCAGACTAGAAAAAAATGTTGGATATCCCAGCTTCTGCTACACAGTCTTTTGACAGTTCTCTTTATTATCTCTCCCTTGAGAGTCCCTCAACTTTAGGGAAGTGTAACACTGAATCACAGGAGTGCCTCTCTAACCTCTCTAACTTCTCTTGACTCTCTGTACTGTCAGCCATTCATGGTCTGTGTACAGTTTTTCATATATTCATTATCATATTTGATCTTAGAGAGGCACTAGACACGCCACTCTGTTCTGAACTAACAGAAGCTTGTTACTGAGCCGTACTCGAGATGAGACAGCGGTTTGAATAACCTGTAAGGTGAAACTTGGACTAAGACATACAATAAATAATCCTCTTCCCATTTCTCCAACTTATTTATTTGAGTGACTAACCCAGGAAAGTTGCCCATCAGGGATGACCCCTAAATGTTTAGCCTCACTGACTTGTGCTTCAACTTTCTACTGTGCTTTAAGTCAATCATAGGTTGATTTGGTTACAGGGTAAAAACAGGAGTGTCCGTCATTTAAAGAGAACCTGTGGTGTGTGTTCACCCTTCTGCCATTCTAAGCACAACTTTCAGCACTGAGCTCGCCTGCTCACATCAGCTGTGGCTCTGACTAAATTATAATCTGATGATATATCCCACAGTAAATTATGCTGATGCTATCTTAATCAGCTGCTATGTACTGACTGCCCTCTGCTGTCTGAATGTGTAAGCTGCGTTGGTTTGCATAGGTGTGGTCGGAAAGACTGCAGACTCAGGGGAGGATGATTGCTTTTAAGCCAGATCTAAGAGAACTACTGCCACAAAGGACTGACACAAAGATAGATTTTACACCATATTGATGTGTATATTACAACAATTCAAAATCATAAGCACTCTTATGTCAGCAGGATGTGAAAAAGTTAATAAATCTGTTTTGGGTAGTTGAAGGTGGGGGCTGAATAAGGAATCCTTCCCTATGAAGCCTTATTCAAAAAAAAGAAATCTGATCAGATGAGGAACAGAGAGTGCAGTGCTGGGATTATTTCCAACTTTCATAAATATATATATTTCCTAAAACAGTAACTGAAGCAACCTCTTGTGGGGCTTCTTTAAACCTCCACACCCAACTCTTTCAGACAGGAATAAAAAAATAGATGATGTGCTGGGTAATTAGTTTGTCTAGACAGTTTGGAAAGAAGGCACTTAAAACACATCTTTCCCAAGATGCAGAGTATATTGTGCTTTTTCTTCATGGGCGCACCTGGAGAATGCGATGAAAACAAAATCATCAGGACTAAAAATACTGACACTCCCTCAACACTTTCTATTGGCATCATCAAGGTTTTGGGGAAGCTTATGGAGCACAGACGAAGGCGCTGACGCCAAATAAGACGCTCCATAGAGGGAGTCTGATATTCTTTGTTCTGAAGCTGATGGTCTGGGAGCACAGGGGTCAAACGTTCATGAAAGTGCTTTTAGTCTCAATTCAGCAAGTTTAATTCTATTAATTCTATTATAAAATATTCACATGCTCAGGAAGCCTAGTTGCACAGGTTAGCACAATAATATCCAAAAAGAGAGAAAATCCAAACAAATGATGGTGGTAGCCTGTGATGTCTAAACTTTGATTTCATGGCATTTTACAAACAAATGTTGTAAGAACTTATGCAAAAAAAGCTCTAAGATTTACAAGCAATTTATATGTGCAATACCTCTATCAGTGTGGCAAAAGACATTGGGGAAAGTGCTTATCAACAACTGTGCAACATTTAATGCAATTAAATACCTAATTGTGGCCAGAAAATGGCCTGACTTTTCTGACGCAACTGTGAAGGTGTCAAATGTGTTGCAGCCCATACAGTAGGAGGACTTTCTAGCAGCACTGATTCACACTAGCAGCTGCGGAGTCATCCATGACAACATCAAACAGATGAAGAAATGTGATGTGGCGTGCTCCTGCTTTGAACCGTCTCTACCAAGGGTGCACACTGACATCAAGTGGTCAGATGACAACTGTCAGCAGGAGATGTCTTGTATTCTCACGCTCCTGAATGTGAACAGTAATATCTCTAAGACTAACAGTCAAGTGTTGTTACCATGACAGCTGAAAAAGCAGCTGAATCATACTGATATACTGATAGGAGGATGTCCTTATTTACATCAGCATATATGTAGTTGTATTTATTTGCTTTCAGTGAGCAGTGGAAAATAAATATTATTCCATCACTGTCTGAGCTTTTTGCTATATCAAAACTGAAGACATGTATGACATGTATCTGAAAGGTCTTAAAAGACCAGTTTGGAGGATTTGGTGGCATCTAGCGGTGAAGTTGAAGGTTGCTACCATTTGAATACAGCTCAGCATTCCAAATTTGTAGGAGAAACTATGGTGGCCGTGAAACTCTTGGTTGAGAAAAAAGTTTTAGAAGATCACTCATGACAGACGGTGATAGACAGATGGTTCATCCTACCACCTGCCGAGTATTTTTTGAAAGTTTCCAACGATGACTTCCCAGAGGGTTATGTGTAACAAACCATCTGGCGCAGTCAGGTTACGTTGCCCCCAATGGCAAAAAATCTGCTTCAAGCTGATAAAAACCTATACCTGCTTATAAATAAGTTATTCTGTGTTACAACAATTATTAAATGTTTCTATACTGATTCTAAATAGACTTAATGTAAAGAGATACTGAAAAATACATCTAACATTAAACTAGCAGCTGAATAATCTTTACAGTCTGACTTTTTGTACTTTTCTCTCAAATTGATTTTGTGATGTGGAAACATTTTCCTGTACTATCACATCGGTCTGGAGGATTCATTTTCATATATACATGAACTTTACTGTAGATCGGTTTCTGCCAAAACTAAGACGGGATGACTTAGACGGAAAAAGAAGACACTTCCTGAGGGAGAAACAGAGAGGAAGATAAAGAGGAAGAGGGAGGAAGCAGTGATGGCGAACAGAAAGAAGAAATGTTTGAGGCTTGAGTCTTTCTTATTTGAAACCGTCTCTTTACTGTCGGACTCCCGGGTGGCTTTCACGAGCGTTTTATGTATAATTTAACGTAATGTGCAGAGATAAAGCCTCCAATAAAGGCAGCGCTCTCTAAGCTCTTCACAGCACATTACGTTTTATTCATCAAATTAGTTTTAGTTGGTTTGGTATCCCCTGAGCCGTCTTTAAAAGGTTTAGATGAAAGGGCTACATTAATTTTGCCACTAATCAGTTAAGCGACAGCACCAAGTGACAGCTATGCACTCCTTACCCCCGAAAAACCCTCTGCACTCTCGTCTTTCTGCCATGCCCGTTTCAGCTCTGCTGTCCCTGGCTGCTCCCCGTACCGATCCTCTGCATGTAGCCTCCCACCCTCACCACGCAGCCTTCTGATGCTACCCTCAACATTGTGTCACTCTTTTTACTGACAACTCAAATCGCCTTTGATAGTTTTTAGCAAATCATGCATACTCTTGCAATCTTTGAAATTTGTTAAAAAGGCTGCATGCTACTAATTTCTTTCCTCCTTAATATTTGGAGGAAAGAGCTTAAGAATGTGTTGTATGATGCATTACTTTAAAACAATTACATATGAGCAAAAAATGCGACAAGGCATGTTTTCATTTTTGTTTTAGCTTTATGGTTAATCGTCTGCTGTTAAATGGGATTTTTAACACATTACAGCACAGAGCAGAAAATTAGGGCTAATATTTGGAATTCTCCAACTAAACGCTACAGAGAAATTTTATAGTAGACTTACTGAAAATGACTAAAGCTGACAGGACACCAGAGGTCCAAGGCTTTCTCTCTAACACAATGCTGTTTTGCACAATATTTAAACGTCAATGAATGTGTTTATAGTAAGTGAAATTGTTTCACTTTCCTCCGCGGCTGAAGGTTTTATTGATAGGAGATACAAGTTTACCGTTGAAGGACTAGTCCAGGGCTAATGAGGGCACTTACTGAAGCAGGGAGCGCTTTGGGAAGCTGAAGGTGCCATGGGAGATGCGGTCCACAAAGTTCAGTGGGATCCTCTGGATTTGATCACAGTTGAACATGACAAAGTCGTACTTGAAGACCAGGAGAGAGCTGTCTGTTATGAGAACAAGACGCTCTTTTTCATTGTTCCAGTGATCCACCCTGAAACAACCAGAGAGAGAGAGAGAGAGAGTGTGTGTTTGAGCTACAGTGACAAATCATTTCTTGGTATCTACATTTTAGATTTGGAACAAAATTTACTGGCTCACTCAATTCTTAACCAATGTGTCATTATCTGTCTGTACAATGAGGGAAGGTGGGCAGAGGATGTCACGGCTAATCCATCTGACCCCTTTTATGTCTTTAGCTATACAGTGAGTAAGGAGTAGCACTGGTATGCACTTGGTTGCCAGTTTTTTCGGTACAACTAGAGCACATTTATATCAGTGAGGAAACACCTGTCAGTATAACGTAATACAATCTAACGGCACAACAAACGGCAGCCTCCAAATTGATCATATAGTTGAATCAACACCTCTCTAAAACAGTTTCATCAAAAACTGAAAAGCACGGTCTACGCAGAGGGAGGATTTATTACAGAACTGTTGTATTAGACTGCATTAGTACAAACTAATAGAAATAGGTGTACCTAATAAACTGGCAACTGAGTGTAGGTTATGGTGTTAACTTTAGACTGAGCACCAGATCCCAATATTTTGCTGTGAGCCCTAAACAGGCAAGCCTATTTGTGATCTCTTATCACTGGTTACACATGTTTACCTGTTAGTTCAACCAATTTTCCTTATTTTATATCAATACATCTTTAAATAAAATATCCAGTAATTTACTATATAATATATATTAAAGGCTAATGGACAAATATAGCCTGGCTCTGTCAAAAAGGTAAAAGTGTCTACCAGCACCTCTAAACTCGTATCTTGTTTACTTAATCTGTGCAAAGAAATTAAATGCTAAAAGGACAATTTACGGAGGTTAGGTGATGGAATGCTTCTTGGCCAAGAACAGTTGCCAGGCAACCAGTGGTAACTCCAGGACTCCTTATGGAGGTCCCGACCCCTGTGCTGGGAACCACTGCTATGGAGAGTAACTTTCACTATGTGACTTTTGGTGTGAAGTGCAGTTTTAATGTTGGTATTCTGCAGGAGGTTATTTGAAGTTGATACAAAAAACATGTATAGCAAAACTGCTCAATTATGTACTGTAAAAGCCTCACAATTTCCAAAAATGCCCTTGGCAAAGATCATACAATATGCATGCAAGCATTTCTAAGTTGTTACATTTAACCAACAAAAAAAGAAAACTCTTATTAATAGATACACCTTTAAAGCAACAAACTAAAGTCTGCTTTCCGTTATGTACTCAAAGTGTGTTCAAAAGGGCTGTCCCACTAATTGATGTCACAAAAAGCATCATCTCACACACACTCTCTCCTTCAAAGCTGTGCACACAACTAATTCATGGTGGCGTGGATTCTCTTGGAGTAGCTCTCTTTCTTACGGCCCGCTGAGCCGGGTTCATGTGGCCAACTCCAAGTGAAACAGTCTAGATTGATGCTGGCAGCCGCAGGCCAGAAAAGACAGTTCACTGAACAGCCAAGGCATTATGGGAAAGGTGTGGGTGAAGAGCTTTGACTGTGCTAATGAAATGAGTTAACCTTGACTGGGCATTGGTGTCGTGGATAGCACAGAGGTGTTGCAGAGATCCATGATCAGACTGTGGGTGTCTGACACGCTGCTGGCACTGAGCTTGACACAACAACACAGCGCTTCTCAGCAAGACGACGCTGAGGCCTGAACTGACGTACCTCTGTAGGACACACTGGGATACTTTGTAGCACACAAAGGAATAATTTGACATTTTGGGAAACACGCTTATTCGCTTTCTTGCTGAGAGTTAGATAAGAAGGTCGACAGCAATCTCATTGTCTGTACACTAAATACAGGGTTTCTACAGGTTTTAGCAGATTGAGTTTAAGACTTTTTTTTAGACCTTTAAGTTAAGAATTAATGCAATTTAAGGCCTATTTTACATTCATACAAGCAAAAAAATACATACAAGAATATGTAGGAAAAACAGTGCATGATCAATACGAATTTTTTCTGAAAACACATCTCAAAAGTGAGATAGAAAAATGCAACTTTATATAAAGTAACGTCAACGTAATTAACCCAATCAATTGATAAGACCTGTCAAAATCATATTTAATAAATTGTAAGGACTTAAATTGGATTTTAGACTTTTTAAGGTTTTTATGGCTCTACTATGCCCAGAGTGTCCAACTTCAACCACGCCACCCAGCATGGCAATAATCTCAGGAGTTCTTAATGCAATGGGACAACCCAAACTTCAGTGGACATATATATGGATCCGCTTTTCATTCAAGATTTAAACACTGAGATCGTTAGGCATTGGGCACAGGATTGGGACAGAAATATATAATATATATATATCTCTAAGGCGAGGAAATGAGGGAGAAGAGGAGGAGTCCGTCTCAGACATCATGGCTTTTAGTGAGACATGGCTCACGCCTTCAGACAATCTGACAATCAGCGGCTTTGGAGCACCTGTCAGGCTGGACAGGAACGTGTATGCTATGGGGAAATCCCAAGGAGGCGGAGTCTGTGTATATATAAATCAGCAGTAGTGCAATAATGTCACCATTAGAGAGTCTATATGCACAGCTGACGGTGAACTGTCGTCTGTCTCTGTCCGCCCTTTTTATCTTCCCAGGGAGTTCCCCCAGTTATTTGTGACAGTAGTGCACATTCAGCCAAAAGCAAAGCCTGTTAATGGGACACTTTAATAACTGCACATTAAATACATCAATTAATCTTTACCAGTACATCACCTGAACAACCAGGACAAATAAGAGTCTAGATTTATGTTTTGGTTCTATAAAAGGAGCGTACAAGGAGTCTCCTAGGCCCCCCCTTGGTTCCTCTGACCACAGCACCGTCAATATCACCCCTGCACCACCCAACGCTAAAGAGGGAGAAGGTCAAGACAAGAGAAGTCAAGGTCTGGAGTAAACATGCTGATCAGAGGGTGAGAGTACATACTCTACACCAATGACTGTGGAAGCCAGCATCCTGAAATTTGCTGATGACACAGTTATCATTAGCTTGTTCCATAAAGATGAATCTGAGCACAGGCCGGTGGTAGATGACTTTGTTAAATGGTGTGATGAGGCCTTTCTCAAATTAAATATTACAAAGACCAAAGATATGGTCATTGATTTCAGAATGAAATCATCCCACCCACCATCTCATACCTTCATCAAAGGAATTGGCATTGAAATTGCGTAACAGTATATCTTGGATCAGTCATTGATAAAAACTTGGTATGGTTACTAGGAAGGTGATAGGTGTCTTACAATGGCTATCTTGGACCAGCAGGTTCTCTGCAAGGCCAGGTCCGTACTGGACTGTACAAACCACCCCCTTCACCTTGAGTTTGAGTACCAAGGTTGAATTGCAACAGGAGTAACTCCTTTATTACTTGTGCAATATCCCTGCTTAATTTGCACATGTAATTTGAAATGTTCTCGGCATTTAATCTGCACATGAACATTTTTAAATCCTATTTTAGTAGTTTGCATATGGAATTATCCATCTTTTTGCATTGTTGTTTCTATTATGGTTTACTCTATATTATATTTGTAGGAACAACTTTAATGTTTTTGGTACTTTTGTTTTTGTCTGTATTTGTGTTGTTCTTTGTTTTCCTTGTTTGTGCCCCTGACAGCAAATCAAGTTTCCCATTTGGGATAATAAAGATAACTGAACTCAACTGAATCTAGGACCCAAAGGACACCCTTTAAATAGGAGGCCACACCAGCCAATAAACCTAGCTTAGCATAAAGAATGGAAGCAGAGTGAAACAGCTAGCTTGTTTGCTAATTAACACATTATGTAACATTTCTTAATCCATGCAAAAACGTGTGAAAACATTCCAAGGGTTTTCTAAGCTAACTACTGTGGTTTCATATTTAGCACAAGACATGAGTGGTATCGATTTTTACATAATAACTCAGTGTGTTTACCTTAAGACAGAGCCAGGTTAGCTGTTTCCCCATTTCAGGCTTTATGCTAAGCTAAGTGAAGCGCCTGTTGATTCTAGCTTCATATTGGTGGTGTCAATTTTCTCATTTAACTCTCATTAAAAAAAACAAAACATCAATAACGTGCATTTCCCAAACTTTAAACTATTCCTTTAAATGAACTAGATCAGTTACGTTTTATTTTCTCTTTTAATAATCCACTTGACACTTGACTTATTTTACATAAAAAAAAACACCTACTCTATTTATTAGTAAAAATAAAGCCCTTTATGATAAACGAAATTTCAGAAAATGAGAGAAATAAAAAAAATGCCGCACAAAAGAGGAACAGTCAAAAATGATAAAAATAGATGAAGCGAGATCATCGCACTCTTTCTAAAGCTAGTGACAATCCTCAGCAAAGCCAGATTTGAGGAATTTCTCATGCTTTTCTGACATTAAACACCGGCCTCCCTCTGGGATATTCAGCAGCAGCGTCACTGAATTACCATATAATGCACTCTTTCTGTGTCAAGAAATCCTACAACGGCTTCTATAACGTCGATAACTGAAGGCCAAATGTAGGACAAACGTTAACGTGTGTTGGACAGAGCTGCATAAATGGGATGTATTATTCATTCTCACATGGCCAGCCTTTTAAATGTTTCCTGAAAGCTTTTGCTGGAGTGATACAACTTGACATCCGCAAGCACACTTGGTAAATGTCCTGCAGTCACTTCATTTTGCTCTGTGTTCGAGGCAGTTAGATCACTACCTCTTAACGGACTTCTGGGATATTCTTGGAGTTTGGCTTTGGCAAGAACATTGGTATTTGAAATGTTTTTGTACTGTAGTACAGTAAAGGCCCATAACCAACCCACTCTCTCCCTATGAGCAGCAGGTTATTTGCAGATGTACAGTACAAATGTTACTGATGAATTATTAATGAACAACACATGATACTGTAAACTCATTGTGCATTTACAGTTGCCACATTACTGTTTGGTGAAAACCTTAAAACTCCAGATCAGCAGTTTTGGAGTGTTTTTCTCTGACAGTTCAACAACAACTTTAAGAAAAAACAATAGTTTCACCACTTCCCCTATTTAACATTTAAGTTTCTAAACATTTGCTAAAGGTTTATAAGACATTATAATTATAATGTACTGGGAGCACATACAAATGTGTTTTTAAGTATATGACAACTAGAACTGAAACAATTAGTCAAGTAATCAATTAGTTGATAAAAAAAATAAATTAATTGCCAATACATTTGATAATCGATTAATGGTGTATGAAATACTAAATTGGTTTTAGATTCTCAAATGTAAATATTTGCTAGTTTTCTTAGCCTTCTTAGTTAGTTAACTTAAACATCTTTGGGTTTTGGGCTGATGTTTGGACATGTATTGGACGCATGATATGTCAGCTTGGACTAAAATAGACCTTCTTCACAGCAGCCATTTTGACATGAAAGTAGTAGGGTAAACACAGGTGACACTAATTATGGTTGTGTTTAGTGTATTTAGTGTACAGTACAGTAGAGTATTTTCAGTGAGACAACATGCACAAAAGCAGCACCCTGACTCTGTTTGATGTTGGTAACATCTCTGTTTACTCTACAATTTTATGCCAAAATAGCTGCTGTGATAAAGGTCTGTTGTTCTGGGACTTCTTCACTATTTGTAGACACTGTATAGACGCAATGATTCATTGTTGAGTTGATAAAATAACCTGTGGATTATTCGGATTAATAACAATGATCGTTTGTTGCATACTGTGAAGCATCCATAGCTGATCTATAAACAGTCTACAGTATAACAAATGATTGACAATAAAATGTAATAGCTGTAATCACTTTTTATACAGGAAATGCGTATAATGTATTTATTATATTTATGAATTATTTTATTTAAATAATTAAAGTAGTATTAATTTACTCCTTCAGTCTCCATGACAACTGAGCAAACATAATATGTTGATGAAGGCCATGAAATGCAGCTGAAAACTGGGAGAGAAACCTAGTAAGTGGACCTTGAGTACTTACTTGTTGACAAATACATTAAAAGACATTAAAAACTGTCATCATATGTGCTTACAACTACATTATAGAATATCATAACCCATTTATCATTTACCCATTTAAGTGTCTAAATATTGCTCATTAGGTAAAGTGTTACCAAAAATGATACAAGGTTTTCACTCGGCACACATTAAACTGTATGACAACACGAACATGACACTGTGCCACAGAACATGGTCTCATGAACTCACTCTGCCATCAGCCAAATGCTGCGAACGTTGCCATCTACTTCTTTATCCACCAGAGCTTCAATGTCTTTGATGGCCTGATTCAGAGTGCCAGGCTGAGGAGACAGAAATGCACGGGTGTCACTTTCTAATTTTCCACTGTGACAATCACAATGTGTGCACAGAAAGCTTAAGGGGTAATCTTTGAGGCAGATATGCAGCTGGGACTGGTACTCCAACAAAATGTCAGCGCGTCTGTGTGTCACACAAAATAACAAAAAACAAAATCATGAATCCACGGCACATGAAAATGACTGCAAATGAAGAAAGCTGAGCGTGCAGCTTCCTGTATAAGTAATTCAGGTACTTGAAAAAACAAGAGAAAGCTTCATAATACACTACACATCCAACATTTTTATACCATGTGACTCTGTTTTTCATTTTGTGTTTTATTATTTCAATGCCAAGTTGGAGAAGTTAAAAGATTAAGAGTTCATACTGAGGCTCCTGACAGTCTTACTGTAATGTGAGTTTGGTGCTCAGCCGACCTCGTTAAGGAAAGACTGCCTTTAAATGACCTCAGTCATATCTTTAGCATTTCTGTACTGCATTTCCTGCCACTTATTGGCATATGAGTGTAATGATATACCCAGATACTGATACTGATACTGATACTGATACTATCTGCAATCATAATATTAAAGCAAAGCAAATTTACTGGTTTAGCCATATAGAGTTAAATCAACACCGCTCAACCTCCTTTTACATTTCAGTCTCCAAAGATGTCTGTATATATATATATGTATATATATATATATATGTATATATATATATATATATATGTATATATATACATATATATATATATATCCATTTTTTATTGTCTATATTAGTATGTAAGCAGTATTTTAATGCAACTAGTTTCTGCTTTTTGGTTTAATCTATACAAATATATAATTTTTCATAAACTATATTGCTACTTACCAGGAACTGCAGACAAAATTAGCATTATGCTAACTCTGGCTAAATACATTAAATGCTAAGCTAACATGTAGGCCTATGTTTAGTGTTGTAGGCCACAGGGCACCTTAATATAAAATAAATAAATAAACATACTGATAACTACAGCTGCCAACTAAATGTATGAAGAACTGAGGAAATGTGGTAGAAAAAGGTGCCAAAACATTGAAGTTTAGTTTTCATTTAGTTACAAGTAACTGAAAGCTTGTAAACCAGCACTTCCCATTCATTCTAAATATACTAGAAGTTTCACCGGGAGGGGAGGTTTCTAAACTGGCACATTTATTCCATTTGAGCAACAAAGTGGAAAAGTAAAAGTCTTTACCCTCAACACGAAGAACCTCCTGAGCTTGAACTGTTCCAGAGATGACTCCACAGAGGTGGCACTATACTGGGAGGGCGCCGCTCCGCCCTTCACTGCCCGCTCCTCTGTGCCCTCCGTGCGGGCAGTGGAGGGGGCCGCTCGGCCCTCAGCAGCCCGCTCCTCTGTGCCCTCCGTGCGGGCAGTGGAGGGGGCCGCTCCGCCCTCAGCAGGCCGCTCCTCTGTGCCCTCCGTGCGGGCAGTGGAGGGGGCCGCTCGGCTCTCAGCAGCCCGCTCCTCTGTGCCCTCCGTGCGGGCAGTGGAGGGGGCCGCTCCGCCCTCAGCAGGTTGAGTGTCCTCCTGCCCGCCGGAAGAAGAGCTGAGCTGATGCTGCTGTTCCTCACTGGGCATTCCTTCCTCCTCAGCTTCTAACATGATGAAGCTTCGCAACACCTCTTTAAAAAAAAATCATCAACATCAACAACACTAATGTGTAGGTATGAATCAAATGAAAGCTTCTTTCAGTACATTTAAAGCCACAGCAGAGACGCTTTCACCACTTGTTGCCCTCCAATTGACGCAGTATCGAAACTTAAGTCGCTCCTCACATCATTACTCCCTGGAAGACTAACCTAAATCTCTCTGGTCTACAGTTCAAAGTGATAGTAATGCATTAGCCTAATGAGTAAATAAATGACTTACTTACCTCCAATTACCGCAGTAGGTGTTTTCTGTCTATAAAGAGGCAGCGACAACAGGTGCTGAACTTCCTTGTTCCGTGTCTAACATTTGTTTTAAAGGGCGTACACTGCAGCAGGCTGTATCTAAGCACACAGGTCCTTTCATTACTTGGATCGGATTTACATAGAGACTACCACAAACACTGCGCATTTACTTTCTGCGCTGCTGGTTTGGGACCAGTCTCATACTGTACTGTAATAATATGATCTCAGTTTGAATTCTATATTATGAGACTGGTTTAGGATTTCAACTGCACGCACACAGTGCTAATTTCCCTCTCTTTTTCATTATGTCATAATGACCCAACTTGTTTCAAGGTGCCTGACTGGATCAACCTGTAGGAGGCCAGGGCTCCTCTCCTGTCTAGCAGGTAGTCTATACTTGCCAGGGGGGACTGGTTGCTCTGCTTGTGTTACAGTACATTAGACTATTTTGCTCACATCATCTCAATATTGTGTGTCTTTCGAGGGAAAAAACTAATGTATCCACAATTACAAACCCTTTTTGTGTATGTTGAGTATTTCATTTTGATAGAAATGTTAACTTTTAAAAGCCAGTGCTGTCCATGTGCTATTTTGCCACACACAACATACTGATAGGTCACATGGAATTATACTAAATTGTTTTTTTGGCTTAGTTTTGCTCAGTTTTTCAACGCCCAAGTGCCCAAAAACCATGCAGTTTAAAACTAGGGCCCCACTTTGGAGGACGTAAGTAATAACATACATTTTTTAATGTTGATGCCATTATTTTTTTCTGGTACTCGGACTAAATGACACTGAAACAGGCCATGTGCTGTCATGCTGCTGGGATCCATCTGGGTTGTACAGGATCTGAACAGAGTGTTCTCATTAGAAGTTGGGTGTTACTTCTGCCAGTTTGAGCATTTCTGAGAGAACATATGATGTCGATTGTTGTCGGGTAACTTACTTCATACAAATTTATTTTTTCTTGATGCTGTAGTAATTTAAATTGTATGTAAATGGCCTATAGCAACACAGGAAAAAACAGAAAGGCTTATACCATGATGAATGGGATCAACATCACACACTGCATCAAAAACATCAGAATGTTGTTCATTTTGTGAAATATATAGTTTTTGTAGGTTATTTGGTTGTAGTTTGGTTATGAAGCAATTATGGAGCAAGGAGACTTTTTTTGGTTAAACACAATCCCATCTCCCATCACCACAAAACAACCACAGACAAATATCAAATTTAACGGTTAATTGGATATTTTAATCAATGAATGTTGCTTATTTCTATCACTGTTCTGTTAGCACAGGATGAAGACTGAAGAATAATAATTTAGGTTGCCTAAATTATTCAGATGCCTAGATTAACCCTACACATTTGTGCAACACACTATTCATACGGTTTATGAAAGATTTAGCTGGTTTTGATTTCCTCTCTCAAGCTTATGTTCCTGCATCTTTTCCTAAAATACCAGTGAATGGCATTCATGATTCAACTGGACAATCACACAATCAAGCAATTGTGGGATGAACCAGATCATTGAAAGCGAATAAGACTTTTCCCTCCCACAAATCTTTGAATAGAATCCCCATTTAAACATCAGTCTGCATGTAAGCTAATGTCTTCTGACATAGCATACCGTAAGGCCACTCATTCCCAATCACAACTCTGTCAGGGAGCGCTTCCAACGCCTTGTTGGAAGTTTAAAACCAATCCAGTTGTAATCTGCAGCCGTCAAAGAAATGCAGACAGATTTCTAAAGGCGTTCTTTCTGCACGGTTGCTTAGCTACTCCCACGGACTGCAGGCTGAGATTTTCATGCTCTTTAGTGTTGTTTGAATGGCCAGTGGCTTTCAGTCCAGATCTCATTTAGGTTTTTTTTGGTCTACAGTCAAGTAATTACTTCTAATCAATCCAGAGCTTTTTTGCTTCAGTGATGGGTTAATAATGATTTTTAAGAATTCTTCTTCTGCTCAAATAGACGCACTGGTGCAAGAAGCTGGAATTTCTTCAAAATCTCCATGAAATCTGTAAATCTCCTCGCTGTTGTTCCTTTATTTGATTCTGTGATAACTGCAATCTATAGAGCAGAGCATAATTGAATCACTGACCTGGTGGAAGTTCTATGGAAATATCTCAGCATGACAGCACCATAACATTGTATTTCTGATGCGACATGCTTTATGTAAACCACTGAACTAAGAAACCCTTTGCCCCGTGATGCATCACATCATTGGGAGAAGCGTGGATAAGAATAATCCATATTGTTGTATCTAGGCCAAGTAATCAACACTGCATAACTGGAAATGTTCAGTGTTGTCAAGCTGTAAGCGTTCACTTGGTACTGTATCTCCTTAAGTTTCTGCTTCAGTCTCTCCATGCAGTTTTTTGGTGCTCTCCAAAGACACACATGTTTATCACCGATGAATTTAACATGAATTAATAATAGGTTGAATAATACATGTCATATTTCCAGTGGATGTTTCAGATGAAACATCGCTGCGTATAGTGCACTATAATGGCACGGTAAGTAGTATAGTAGTGTAGCATGTGTTCTCCTTTGTAGCTAAGTGCAGTTAATGTTCACCAGTAACTTGTATTTTGCATATTCTGAAGTGTATGAAGTATGATTGTTTGTGTGTGTTTGCTGTGGTAGTGTGTAAGATAGTGAATGTTTAGATGTATGTTTGCTTAACATCAAAATACCTTTTCACATAAGGCCCCAAATACCTTTTTTGACACTTAATTCTAATTTAAAGATGCTTTAATAAATATTTTTGTTATAACAATGGATCAAATGACTGTGTGTAAGGTTAAAGGGGTTGTCCTAGTGACAAACCCACACAATTATTACCCAACTCTTAAGCTTTATGGAGCATTTTAGCCTCTTTCAGCGTATTGTTTTGGTTTTCTGGTCTTCATTGCCATTGTTTGGTTCACTCATAGTTCTCTTAGTGTAACTTAATGACTGCAGCAGGCAGCTGTTTTCAGCAAAAAAGCCTGAAAAACCCACAACACTACCTCTTCAGCACCAAAAAGCACACAGACGAAGTTACCTGGTGAACATAGTGGAGCATTTAACATCTAAAGAGAGCGACACTTCCCTCAGGAGTTGGTGGAGACCAAAACAGAGCTAAAAGAGAGAGTGCTTATTCATCAGGTGGTCAAAATGGTGACCTCAAATGATGCTGGTCTGTATCTGCTGAATATGTAAACTGTTTGATTACAAGTTTACTGTATTAGTGTAGTGTGTAGTAGTACAATCTTCCAGACTCAGATGTGCATTGGGGAGTCAGTGGACATACTTAAAGCGAAATGTGAACTTTATCTGGGCCCTACACTACTGAATGAGACATAGAAAGCAATCCCTGACGCTCCCCTTGTAGATGGGCTCCTGAAATGTAAGATTGTACATTATGTTAAATGGTCACTGGGGTAAAAAAACATAGTAGTGGCTAATTTTGTTCCTCGTGGAATAATTTAAAAGACCAGTTGAATTAAAGGGACGCCCAGATAGCTCACCTGGTAGAGCTGCTCTGAGGCCTTGCTGAAGTGGACATGAGTTTGTATCTCTATCTCTCCCCCTTTCCTGTCTACCTTCAGCTTTCTTATCCAATTAAGACAAAAAGGCCCAAAAAAAAAAAAAAAAAAAAAAATATATATATATATATATGTATATATATATGTATATATATATATGTATATATATATATATATATATATATATATATATATATATATATATATATATGTATATATATACATACATACAGTGAATGAAATTATAAACTCAACGCTTTTGTTTTTGCCCCACTTCATTATGAGCTGAACTCAAAGATCTAAGACTTTCTCTATGTACACAAAAGGCCTATTTCTCTTAAATATTGTTCACAAATCTGTCAAAATCTGTGTCAGTGAGCACTTCTCCTTTGCCAAGATAATCCATTCACCTCACAGGTGTGGCATATCAAGATGCTAATCAGACAGCATGGGTATTACACAGGTGTGCCTTAGGCTGGCCACAATAAAAGGCCACTTGAAAATGTGCAGTTTCACTGTATTGGGGGGGTCCGGGGGAGTTGGGAAACGAGTCAGTATCTGGTGTGACAACCATTTGCCTCACGCAGTGCAACACATCTCCTTCACATAGAGTTGATCAGGTTGTTGATTGTGGCCTGTGGAATGTTGGCAGGACCTGGAACAAGCTGTCATATACGCCGATCCAGAGCATCCCAAACATGCTCAATGGGTGACATGTCTGGTGAGTATGCTGGCCATGCAAGAACTGGGATGTTTTCGTCTTCCAGGAATTGTGTACAGATCCTTGCAACATGGGGCCGTGTATTATCATGCTGCAACATGAGGTGACCGCCACCATGGTCAGCTCGATCCACAACATTGACATCAGCAAACCGCTCACCCACACGACGCCATACATGCTGTCTGCCATCTGCCCTGTACAGTGAAAACCGGGATTCATCCGTAAAGAGAACACCTCTCCAAAGGGACAGACACAGTCGAATGTGAGCATTTGCCCACTCAAGTCGGTTACGACGACGAACTGCAGTCAGGTTGAGACCCCGATGAGGACGACGAGCATGCAGATGAGCTTCCCTGAGACAGTTCTTGACAGTTTGTGCAGAAATTCTTTGGTTATGCAAACCGATTGTTGCAGCAGCTGTCCGGCTGGCTGGTCTCAGACGATCTTGGAGGTGAACATGCTGGATGTGGAGGTCCTGGGCTGGTGTGGTTACACGTGGTCTGCGGTTGTGAGGGCGGTTGGATGTACTGCCAAATTCTCTGAAACGCCTTTGGAGATGGCTTATGGTAGAGAAACGAACATTCAATTCACGGGCAACAGCTCTGGTGGACATTCCTGCAGTCAGCATGCCAATTGCAGGCTCCCTCAAAACTTGCGACATCTGTGGCATTGTGCTGTGTGATGGAACTGCACATTTTCAAGTGGCCTTTTATTGTGGCCAGCCTAAGGCACACCTGTGCAATACCCATGTTGTCTGATCAGCATCTTGATATGCAACACCTGTGAGGTGGATGGATTATCTCGGCAAAGGAGAAGTGCTCACTGACAGATTTTGACAGATTTGTGAACAATATTTGAGAAAGAAAGGCCTTTTGTGTACATCGAGAAAGTCTTAGATCTTTGAGTTCAGCTCATGATGAATGGGGGCAAAAACAAAAGTGTTGCATTATGTATATATATACATATATATATATATATATATATATATATATATATAT